GAAGGAAGGAAGGAAGGAAGGAAGGAAACAGCCTCGGGTTGGATCAGGCTTCCTTTATTGCCTCACAATCTCTTCCCATCCGTCTTCCCGATCAACCGGCCGGGATCGAGCGGGGTTCCTGGCCGGGAGCCCCAGACCAGATCGAATCGGATCCCCTGGAGATCCCAGATCCAGATCCTCCTGGATCCCCCACGGCGTCTTTCTGGACGAAACCCGACCCTCTCTGCCCCCCAGCGTCACAGCACGGCGGCCGACATCCCCCGGGCGAAGAAGGCGACGTTCCGGTCCAGGATCTTGTACTGGTAAACCCGCTGGAGATCCCTCGCGGCGCCCGATTCCCGGGAATCCTTTTCCAGGATGGTCAGCTGCGGCAAGGAGAGATCCTTTTTAGTTCAAGGTCCTCAGAGGGAGGGAGGGAGAAAAAATAGAGATCACGGAAGGAACGAAAAACCGGGAAAATGGAAGGAAGGAAGGAAGGAAGGAAGGAAAGAAAGAGGGAGGAGGGAAGGAAGGAAGAAGAAGGGAAGAAGGGAAGAAGGAAGGAAGGAAGAAAAGGAGGAAGGGAGGAAAGAGGGAGGAGGGAAGGAAGGAAAAAGGGAAGAAGGGAAGAAGGAAGGAAGGAAGGAAAGAGGGAGGAGGGAAGGAAGGGAGGAAGAGGGAAAGAAGAAAAGGAGGGAGGGAGGAAAGATGGAAGGAAGGAAAGAAGAGCGAGGGAGGGGAGGGAGGGAGGAAAGACGAAGGAAAGAAGGAAGGAAAGAGGGAGGAGGGAAGGAAGGAAGTCAGAAGAAGGGAAGAAGAAAGGAAGAGAAGGAGGGAGGGAGGAAAGACGGAAGGAAGGAAAGAAGAGCGAGGGAGGGGAGGGAGGGAGGAAAGACGAAGGAAGGAAGGAAACAGAAGGAAGGAAGGAAGGGAGGAAGGAAGGAAGGAAGGAGAAACAGAAGGAAGGAATGAAGGGAGGAAGGAAGGAAGGAAAGAAACAGAAGGAAGGAAGGAAGAGAAGGAGGGAGGGAGGAAAGACGGAAGAAAGGAAGGAAGAAAGGAAGGAAATACAGAGGAACAAAGGGAAGAAGAGAAGGAGGGAGGAAAGATGGGAGGAAGGAAGGAAAGAGAAGAGGGAGGGAAAATGGAAGGAAGGAAGGAGAGGTGAAAAGGGGATGGTGGGAAGGAAGAGAGGGAGGGAGAAAAGTCGAAGGAAGGAAGAAGGAAAGAAGGAAGGAAAGATGAAAAGGGATGGGAAGGAAAGAAGGAAGGAAAGATGAAAAGGGATGGGAAGGAAGGAAGGAAGGAGAGAAGGAAGGAAGGAAGGAAGGAAGGAGACCTTCTCTTGAAGCCCCCCTAGCCAGGGGTCCAGGGGAGAGGGGGGCTCACCTGTCCGTGCACCTCCTGGCAGGGGCCGGTGGCCAGACCTTCGGCCCAGAGGAGGCGGCTGGCGTGATGGCGAAGGGCCTTCACCAACGTCTCGTTCTCTTCGTCCTCCGAATCTTCCCGGCTGTGCACCATGAAAACCAGGTTCCCCTAAAAGACGCAAACCACCATTCCTGATTTCGTTCCCCTTTTCCGCAATACAGGTCGTCCCCGGGCGTACGACCCAATCCCCCCAGAACCCCAAACGGCCATTGCGAAGCGAGACCGTCTGTCAAGTCAGCTTTCGACCCCGTTTGACAATCCTTCGGGCCACTGTCGCTAAGGGAATCGTTGCGGCGGTTCGCTGAAGAACCCGGTCCTTAAGTGAGTCTCGCTTTCCCCATTGACTCGGCTTGACCGTCATAAATACGAGTCAGCTGCCAAGCACTGTTAATTTCGATCGCATGACCCCGGGGAGGCAACAACGGTCGTATGTGTGGAAAAAAAAACGATCGCAAGTCCCTTTTGTCCAAGTGCCGTCGTAACTAAACGAACCGCTGTTAACTGGGGTCGAGAGGTACCTTCAATTCGGCGTTCACGGTCACCCGGCAATAATGAACAAAGTTCAGAAGATCCACCAGTCGCACCCCGAGACTCAAGAGGACGCCGAGATCGTCCACGATCAGAACGGAGAATTTCCACCGATGTCCACCAGTCGGAGGATTCACGGCTGTCCGGACAAACTCGTAAAGACCTTTCAGATCCGAGCCATCTCCGCTGCAAATGAGAGATGGACAATTGACGTCGACAACGGCAAACGGCCCGAGTTTGAGTCGTAGACGTATTCCTCACTCACAACGTTCCGCTGAGTGACCGTTCCAAGTCAAAACGGCACGAAAAGAAGTCACTTGTGACCATTTTTACTCGTACGGCCGTCGCCCCGTCGCCGCGATCACCTAACCGGAATTCAAAGGCTTGGCAACTGACTCGTATTTATGATAGTTGCGGTGTTCCGGGGTCAGTTGATCCCCTTTTGCGACCGTCTGAAAAGCGGGAAGCCAGATTCACTTAACAACTGTGTGACTAGCTTAACAACCGCAGGGATTCGCTCAAGAAATATGGCAAGACAGGTCATAAAATGAGGCAAAATTCACTTAACGACTGCCTTTCTTAACATGAGATTTGGGGCTCACTTTTGGTTGTTAAATCAAGGACTACGTGTATAAGTCCTGCTTAGCAAGGTTTTGGTCGCAAAACGAGGACAAGCTACATGTGCGTAACATGACCAAAATGATTGGATTTATCCCCTATCCAAGTCTCCCTCCACTTACGACCCCAAGGGAATCCCAAATTTACGTTGCTAAGTGAGACACGTATTAAGTTAATTTTACGACCTTTCTCGTCACCAGTTCTTAAGTGAATCACTGCAGTTGTTACGTTAGTGACATAGTCGTGAAGAGAATCTGGCTTCCTACTTGTTAGGTAGCAAAAGGGGATGTCGTGACCCCGGGACGCAGCGACCGTCATAAATACGAGTCAGATGCCAAGCATCTGAATTTTAATCACGACCCCGGGACGCTGCGACCGTCGTACGTACGAGTCGGTTGCCCAGCATCTGAATTTTGATCACGTGACCTCGGGGCACTGTGACCGTCGTAAATATGAGTCAGTTGCCCAGCGTCTGAATTTTGATCACGTGACCTCGGGACACTGCGACCGTCGTAAATACGAGTCGGTTGCCCAATGTCTGAATTTTGATCATGTGACCTCAGGACGCAATGACCGTTGTAAATATGAGTCGGTTGCCCAGCCTCTGAATTTTGATCATGGGACCTCAGGACGCTGTGACCGCCGTAAATACGAGTCAGTTGCCCAGCGTCTGAATTTTGATCACGTGACCGCGGGACGCTGTGACCGCCGTAAATATGAGTCAGTTGCCCAGCGTCTGAATTTTGATCACGTGACCCCGGGACACTGCGACCGTCGTAAATACGAGTCGGTTGCCAAGCGTCTGAATTTTTAATCACGTGACCCCGGGACGCTGCGACCGTCATAAGTGGAGGATTACTTCTATCCCGTGAAAAACAACGACGTTAGGATACCTGATAAATTGGAAAGGGTTGGGGTCCTCGGATTCTTGTCCGTCGCTAAACAGGACCTGGTTAGCCCATTTCAGGCCTTCGAAGAAAATCAGCTGATTCTGTTCCTTGGCGGTGAGGAGATTCACTCCCTCAAAAGAAGGAAAAATGAAATATATATATATATATATATTTCGGAATATATATATATATATTCCGAGCAAGAAACACGGCTCGGGGAATTTGTTGGAATCCCCAGCTGGCTGCCTGGGATACCGCACCGTTGTAAGTGCGAGGACTCCGTCGGAAGTGGCTTTTTACAGCCCCGTTGTAACTTTGGAACAGTTGTAAAACGGATGGTCGTAAGTTGGAGGACTAGCTGTATTTCCCCGTTTCCCAATCCCACACCATTTCGGTCTAGATGCCTGGGGCCAGTGAAGTCCAGGTGGACTTCAATTCCCAGAATCCCTCAGCCAACGTGTGTGGGCTTTAACTCCCAGAATTCCCAAGACTTGGAACGGCCGGAATTTTCCCAGCCAAGGTGAGTTTTTTTTCCAATCTTGTTTTAATTTTTGATGAGCAGCAGTCCAAGGGGTTTGTTATGAGATAGGCGGCTATACAGATATTTCATATCAAACAAAAATAAAATAAAATACAATGAAATGAAATGAAAGAATAAAATATGAAATATACATAATAATACATTAAAATATAAAAGAGGAAGAAGGTCTGTTGAATGTTTAAAGCCGTGAGTTATTTGTAAGAATAATAAAGGCAGATAGATGGATAGATAGATATAGAGGAGAGACAGACAGACACAGATAGATAGACAGATATAGAGATAGATAGATAGATAGATATAGATATAGAGACATGATAGATAAGTATAGATATAGATGATAGATGATAGATAGATACATAGAAGATAGATGATAGATAAATAGAGATGAAAGATATAGAGATGATATATATAGATAGACATGATAGATGATACGTAGAAGATAGATATAGATAAATACATAAATAGAGACAGATGATAGATATAGTTGATAGATATAAAGATGATAGATACGGACGATGGATGGATATATATATATATATATATATATA